TGCCCGGCTAATTTTTTCTATATATATTTTTAGTTGTCTGATTAATTTCTTTCTGTTTTTAGTAGAGACAGGGTCTCGCTCTTGCTCAGGCTGGTCTTGAACTCTTGAGTTCAAACAATCCGCCCGCCTCGGCCTCCCAGAGTGCTAGGATTACAGGCGTGAGCCACCGCGCCTGGCCTAACCACCCTTTTAACTAAAATCTTCCACAAGGGGAAAATGCTCTTTGACTGGAAGGATAGGTTCAGAGTAAAGAACCGAGTGGGGGAGAAAACGAGTCAGTGGGTGACAGGTGAGGGAAGCAGCCCCTTGGGTGATGAGAGAGGGCTGTGGCCAGCCTTGAACTGTGACACAGTGGAATTGTCAAGCATGTGAAATTCCCGTACTTCTAGTGAAGTAGCTGAGTAGAGAGAGCAGAGATTAGCAAAGTGGAGGCAAAGAAATCTAATTTGGAACTTGGAACTGCCAGGGGACTGGAATTAAGGATTTGGCCACAAAGAGGAATGAACAATTTGGGATGGTATAAGAAAGCAGGAAGCTGCTGGACCTGGCTACCAATTATTTAGGTGAGAGAAAGGAAAATACTCTAAATTTCTTGCTTAAGGGTCAGAGAGAATTGTGATGTGCAGTAGGCAGGACTCAAGGGTTGAGTTAGAAGCTGTGAGATCTATGAATTTGAAGAAGCTATGAGATCTCTAGTAGGAGCTGACTGGGAGTGTGTGGAGCCAAGTCTGAACTTAAATCTGCTCCATCTCTTTTGGGATGTGTGACCTTAGGTTACTTTACTACATTAAGTCTCAGTTTCGTCATCTGTGTAACAGTACCTCCTTCATAGGGTTGTGAAAAGGCTTAAAAATATAATACAGGTAATGTGCTTAGGATAGTGTCTGGAATGTTGGGAGTGTTCAATAAAAGTATTCATCATTGTCATCATTATCATCATGTTAAATAGGAGAGCTCAGTTGGAGGCTGACATTTATTAATAGGAATTCCATTTAAAGGAATAGAATTCTGCCTGTCTTGCCATTCTGGGTTCCTCACAGGTGTTCACTGTAATTTGTTTACCCTGCAGGCTTCAGTTTGGCTGTTGATCAGTCTAGGGCTGAGGCTGAATCTGGCGCTTGCATTGGCTCCATTCTCTCAACCCAAGCTGTCAGGGCCCTCACCAGAATGTTTACCTAATACCGTCTCTATAGTCTGGAGCCTTTGTAGATAGAAAACCCTTTGACTTGCTTTCCAAGAGGCAGCAGAGTTAATTTAAGACCAATCTTTCTAGGTGAGTGATTTAGCCCAATTTTGGTCAGCTTTTTTCCTGATAAGGCTACTATTCTTGGTGATTATTGACTTTATTTTATTCTTAACCATTTTAGAACAGTCCAGAGGAAGAGGCTGAACTAAAGAAATTGAAACATTTGGAGAAGTCTGTGGAGAAGATAGCTGACCAACTAGAAGAGTTGAATAAAGAGTTTGCTGGAATCCAGCAGGTAACTCTCTTCATGGACTTTGACTTTCTGCCTTCTATGAGAACTCCATGGATATAATGTGTGGTTACAAGGGCATGCTTTGCAGTCAGATTCCCTGGATTCAGATCCTGCCTCTACCCTTTCTCTTATTGTGGGCAAGTTTGTTTCTCAAGTTTCTCGTCTGTAAAAAGAGAATAATGGTGATATTTCCTTCTTAGGGTTGTTGTGAGGATTAAATAACGTAGGTTGAGCCTGACACATACTGAGTGTTTTTTAATTATTTTTGGCGTTGTTATTGGCAGATCCCAGCCAGCATCCATTTGTGCTCACAGGAGAGCACCTTCCATGCTAGGATCATGCATTGTCTGAAATAGAACAGGTAGCTTCCCCCAGTCCAAGCTATTGTAGTGTGTTTGCAAGGCAAAAAAATATTTTGTTGATTCATAGAAGGTCCAGGTTTAACATGATCCTGGTGGGAGGGTGGTGGTGTGTGTGTGTATATGTGTGGGTGGTTATGCTATTAAATTCCTTCTATTAGAGATGGAATATAGAAACCGAGCAAGGATTAGGAACAGCCCAAGACCACCTATTTCTTTTCCCTGCCTCACTTAGTAATATTAATGGGTATGTATTTGTGCTTTAATTATAAAATTAATGTGTGCTGATTATAGAAACGTTCTAAATACATGTGTAGGCACTAATGTGGAAAATAAAAATTTCCTATAAGGCCCTGACTCAGAGATAAACACTACTATAGCCTGAAATGTAGTTTTCATCTTAAAAAAAAATGACATGTTAGCACACTTCATAAATTTTTCTTTTATTGGCTAAAAAATAGGAACATTTTCCTGTATTATTAAAAATGACCATACTTTTCAAAGCTTTCATAATATTTCATCATATATGAATATATCACAGTTTACCTAATCAATTCTCTATTGTTCATCACTTAGTATTTTGCTTAAGCAATCCTTCTGCCTCAGCCTCCCGAGTAGCTGGGACTACAGGCATGCGCCACCATGCCCGGCTCATTTTTTTTTCTATATATTTTTAGTTGTCCAATTAATTTCTTTCTAATTTTAGTAGAGACGAGGTCTCGCTCTTGCTCAGGCTAGTTTTGAATTCCTGAGCTCAAACAGTCTGCCCGCCTCGGCCTCCCAGAGAGCTAGGATTACAGGCGTGAGCCACCGCGCCCAGCCATGACTTAATATTTTTACCATTATGTGTAATGCTTCTTTGAACATCCTTGGACATAAATCTTTTTTGACCACATTTGATTTTTTCTGGTAGAAAAAATTCTTTCAGTTTATTCTGGTAGAATAAATTCTTTCTGGGTGATGTTTAAAGCTCTCGCTACATGTTGTTGAATCTGTATCTGTAGCTCTTAGCTTTGATAATTGTAGTGTGTTTGGCAAGGTAAAGAATATTTTGTTGATTCATAGAGGGTCCATGTTTGATACACATCCTCAGAGATCCCTGCTGTCCAAGTCTTGTCACCAGCTAACTGGTCATCAGGCTAAGCAATGTGGGTAAACCATCAGACAATTTAATAAAAATAATATAAGTGCTGCTGCCATTTGTTAGCACATGTCTATGCCTCAAATTATATTAAGTATCTGCATATATTCCTCTTTATCTTCATAGTAACCTTCTAGGGTGTGGGTATCATAACCTTCATTTTAGAAATGAGGATACTGAGGCATGGATAGCCTAAGTAACTTGTTCAAGATGACAGGCTAAGGCCGGGCGCGGTGGCTCACGCCTGTAATCCTAGCTCTCTGGGAGGCCGAGGCGGGCGGATTGTTTGAGCTCAGGAGTTCGAAACCAGCCTGAGCAAGAGCGAGACCCCGTCTCTACTAAAAATAGACAGAAATTAAATGGACAACTAAAAATATATAGAAAAAACTAGCCGAGCATGGTGGCGCATGCCTGTAGTCAGCTACTCGGGAGGCTGAGGCAGGAGGATAGCTTGAGCCCAGGAGTTTGAGGTTGCTGTGAGCTAGGCTGACGCCACGGCACTCTAGCCCGGGCAACATAGTGAGACTCTGTCTCAAAAAAAAAAAAAAGATGACAGGCTAGTAAGTGGCAGTCAGGATTCAAGCTCAGGCCTTTAAGACTCTAAAGCCTGTGCTCTTAATGTCTGCCTCTTGTGTGTAGGTATACACTTGTGATAGGGAGCATCACTAGAGGTAAGCCTCAGAGCGCGTTTGCAGCCCCAGTTGGCCATGTGAGATAGAGTGGCCTGTAGCCTGGTCAAATTCTTGGACTAACCTAAGGCCAGCCTTTCTCTTTTTTCCAAGAGATGAAGTTGTAAGTCTAAGATGTGGCCTGGGCTGTCAGGGCTATGGTGGACTCAGGGTCTGGTTACTTCACCAGGGCTGTGGCATGGAGTTTTCCATGTCTCACGGAACCCTTGCAATAATGCATTATTTCCTCACAGGGTTTTCTGGCCAAGGATTTGCAAGCTGAAGCTCTCTGCAAACTTGATAGGAGAGTAAAAGCCACAATAGAGCAGTTTATGAAGATCTTGGAGGAGATTGACACACTAGTAAGTAAATACTCAGCTGAGAAGAACCTGTTTTCTTTGACTATATTTCAGTTAATTTTACTCTTTCAGTAATGTACTCCTATTCCCTGGGCAAACCCATCACCTGAGGATACTAAGCACCTACTATGTGCCAGACACCGTGCTAAGTCCTAGGTGAATACACAGAATGATAAGACAGTTCCTGATTTCTAGGCACTCACAGCTCACCAGCATAGGACTTTAGTCATCTGTATTTATGTATGCTAATAGCATCTGTAATCATCATGAAGCTGGAAGCTGAGTAGTCCATGATCTCATGGTCAGCGAAACACAGGACTTCACTTTCCTTGATATTAATGTGACTGATAATCCTACTGAGCTCATTACCTATACAGAATTTAGCCAGACCCAGATCTTATGACACTGTAGAAAATCACTGGCCCCAGGTTCTCTTTTACAGATGACAATAATAATAATATCTCTAGCCTGATGCTTCATTCATGAGGGTGAACTGCTCTGTGCTTGTGATTCTGTTGCCGGGGTTAGGGGGAGGTGTTGTAAAGAAGAAGCAGAAGGCACTTTTCCTGGCACAGTGAGCTCATGATCTGGCCAGGGCACAGTATGCATACATAGGAAACAGTGAAAGAACAAAGTCTGTGTTACAGATCAGTTTCTATGGCCCAGACACTGAGAACAGTGGGCACTTTTATAGGGACGTGAGCTATGGGAAGGGCCATGTTGGATACAGACCTAAGGAAAGGACTCCTAAAAATGCACATCTTATTCACACCAGTGACCTGTGACCTGCTTGGTGTACTGTGGGTGTTTCTGATGTGTCCTCCTGTCATTTTCACTGAGGATTGTTATGTGTCAACTTATTTCATAGATCCTGCCAGAAAATTTCAAAGACAGCAGACTGAAAAGGAAAGGTTTGGTGAAAAAGGTTCAGGTGAGTTGTGTGATAGCGCATGACAAAGCGTAATATGTTAATATGTTGATGCGTGTGTTTATCTGTTCAAAGTAGGGTAGAAGTGTGGTGTGTGGTATAGGCTTTTTTTGGTTCTTGTTTATTTATCAGCATGAGCCCAGAACATCAGAGAAGAACCCCCTTCATGTCCCTGTAGTTATATTTGGATTTAAACTATTGAGGGAGGAAACTCAGTGGAGAGCAGATAGGGCTGATACATTACACAATTCCAGAAGGCAGTGTTCATGTGTACAGTGTTCACTACAATTGTGCAATTGCAGTGCAGTGACCTTGAGGCAAGGCTCCCTTCCTGTCTTTACCACTTTTTGGGAGGTTGTTGGCCTAAAGCATGGTCAGAAACCCTGGTCCTATGCTTCCCTCTTCCTTTCCTCCCCTTACTTTGGAGCCCAGGCCAGGTGCCCGTCTTTATCTGTGCATAGCCCATTTTGAGTCTCACCCATGGGTTTCCCAGAATGGCTAAGCAAACAGCCTTGTGGTGGCAGTAGTCGGCTAGCCCTGGATGGTCCCTCACTGCCCCATGTCTATCTTTTAGGCATTCCTAGCTGAGTGTGACACAGTGGAGCAGAACATCTGCCAGGAGACCGAGCGGCTACAGTCTGCAAACTTGGCCTTGGCCAAGTGAGGTGCAGCAGAGAAAGGCTATGCTGCCCTGAAGAATAGCACTACCAGCTCTGCCCTCTCTGGAAGAAAGGTTTCCTGATTTCTCCAGGGCTGCCAGGGGACTCCTACACCGGTTCTCAATGAAAATGTATTGTCTTTGTGATCTTAAGTAGAGCACCTGTCTGTTTTCTCATTCTGTGTGTCACTGTGCTGTCCAGCAGCCCATCTTTTCTGGAGAGGGCCTCCCCTGCCCAAGTTTTCCCAGCTCTTTTGACTTTTGGGTGCTTTCTTTGGGCTGGTGAGAGCTCTTGGTTTGTCCTGGGCTAGTTCTGGATTTATAGTCCACCCTGGTCTTCAGACACATAAGGGCTTTTTTGTCCTTATGATCCCATAGTCCCGTAGATGTAAAACCAGAATCAACAGGAGTTTGCATCTAGTCAGGAATGGTGGAAATGGCTTGGAACAGGTGCTTGGCACACAAGTAGTGTAGATATCCCTTATAGTGACCTAATTCCAGAACATCTGGCTGGGTTTTTTATAGATCTTATCCTCACCTCCCAGTGACCCTGCCTAGCCACAGGCCTGAGATACCAGGCGGCCATTCCAGGGATGGGGCTTGTGGTTGATGCATGGACTTCCTTGTCCCCAAGCAAATCTTTGGAAGGTTAGAACCCAGTGTTAAGTCTGCTTGAAACCAGGCCCGAACCATGGCTTAGGAAGGCAAAGAGGAGGAGCCAGAGTGAGTGAAGCAGGCAGGTGGTGAAGCCAACTATAAACGTCTCAGGAGTGACATGTGCCTCCTTCAAAGGCTTTTCTGTTAGGCATACTCTTCTGAGATCTGTATTTCCTTCAAGGCTTTTCCTGTCCATTTTGTGGACTATTCCCCTTCGTTATTATATGCCTATCATGGAGCAGAAGAGGGTTTTGTTTTTGTTTTTTTGATTGATGAGGAAAAACCTTTTGTGGCTCTAGTAGTAATATATGTTTAATAAAGTTGAGAGTGGCCCTGCATGCTAGAACTCTTCTTAAACTGGTCAGCTGCTGTCACCTCATTTTTCAACACAGTGCTCAGGTGACAGATTCTAACAGGCCACTCATTTGGCAGAGCAGGAGTTATTGAAGTGCCAGGAATTTAGGACTGGGTGGGTAAGACCTTAGGCAAGGCGATGGTAGAGATGGACACATGGATGAGGTTCAGGGCCTAGCCCACCCACCCTCAACTTTAATCAGTGTGGTTCACTATTGATCTGTTTTTGTATAGTAGCTGGGTGGCCTTGGGCCACAACACTTAATGAGAAGTTACTGTGTGCTGGACACTGTTCTAAGTTCTTTATATTTATACTAGTCATTTAATTCTCACATAATCTAAGAGGTAGATAGGTATTATCCCCATTTAGAGATAAGGAAACTGCGAGAACTTAGGTAATTTGCTCAAGGTCATAGAATAAGTGGCAAAGCCAGGACACAAAGCTGGGCAGTTTGATTTCAGAGCCAGTGCTTTTAATCTCTACTGTACTGCATTGCAACCAACATGGGGTTTCACATGCTTGTGCTCCTATTCTCTCTCTTCCTCTCTACTCCTATGTTAGTGTCTCCACTTCCTCCCTGGCCCTCTCCAGTTCATTCTTCACAGAGCAGTCTGAGTGATCATAAAATGCAAATCTTAATCATGGTACTCCCTTTTTTAGAAACCTCCAATGGCTCCCCATTCTCTTAGAATAAAGGCCAAAGTCCTTACCCCATGCCTTCTGGTATCTCATTTCAAGCCTTTCTCCTATTTGCTCTCTGCTGTCAGCCACTCTGGTCTTCTTTCAGGTCCTCAGATGCATAGTGCCCTCTCAAGCATGGTGCTCTCTCCTGCCTGGGGGTCTTTGCACATGCTGCTACCTCTGCTGGACAGTTCCTCACCATCCTTCCTCCACCCCCACCACTTTTGTAGGTAGCTCCTAGTCATCCTTCAGAATTTAACTCAAATGTCTCTTCCATGGAGAAACCTTACCTACTGTCTGAAACCATATCGGCCCCCATGTGGAATCCTCTCATGGCTTCCCATAACTTCTTTCACAGCGTTTATCACAGTCCATGATGGTTTATTCATGGGATTATTTGATTAGTATTTGCCTTTAATACTAGACTGTAAATTCCTTGGGTGAAGGAACTTCTTTGTCTTGTTAACAGCACTGTTTCAAGCACATTGTCTTGTATATAGTGGGACCTCAATAAATATTTGGACAACGAATGACTATTGAATGCACGCATCAATAGTGAAGTTTCTATAGGTGCACTTGACTGCTACAGTGCTGTAGGCACTGCAGTTTACAGTGTTAAAATCCACTGTCTTTTTTAAGGGTTGAGAAAAGAGGCCTTAGGGCATGGACTGCTAGGCAGATGTGCAGGGTGGCGACTGAGGCCTGGGCACACAGGGCCCACTCACATAGATCTGCTCGTCCAAGAGGTATCTCTGCCTATGAATGGGGAAAGAACGCCCTTGTCAGCTACCCACTTTTCCTGGGACACGATAAGTCCTACCATGAGGGAAACAGATGGGGATGTGTGATCCCACAAATTGATCCTTCAGCCTCAGAGCTGGAAGAATTCTTCCACACATTGTCTATTTAGTTAGCGATTTTTTCTTACCCTTCAAGGCACAACTTAAAGGTAACCTCTTGTGAAATGCTTTTCTTCATATAATAGTCAGGACTCTTGTAGTTGAAAGTACCAGAAAAGTACCCAATTCCAAAGATATTGGGCAAAATAGAAAATTTATGGGCAGGATATCACATTATCCCATGTAACTCTGAGAAGGTCAAGGGCAGGTGGGCTTAAGAAACTCAAAACACTTGGTATCACTTAATGTCCAGAGCTAACAAAAAACATTAAATAAACAAATAAGAATAGGCAATAGAAATATTTTAAAATATAAAACAGAAACTCAAACACTATCCAGAATCACTCTCCCTACCTCTTCTCCTTGCGTGTCCACATCATCCTTAGTCCTGCTTCTTCCACAAAATGGGAAGCTTGGCTACCAGGAGCTCCCATGTCGCTTATCCTGCAGCTTCACTACCAGAGGGGAACTGCCTCTGTTTTCTTATTTCCAATTTGAAAAATCCTGGGGAAGAATCTTTTGGCCAATTAGCAACAGCCAGGGCAGAAGGGTCACATGCCATAGATATGGCCTTTAGGGCCAACACTTAGGTTTGGCATGGTTCCCAAAGACGGGGCAGATTCCAAATCTGTAAGTGGGGAATTAGGTATTTTTTCCAGAGTGGGGCCTGGCACGTTGTTTGGGCTTAATCTTCATGATTCCTCAGATTATGAGTGGAAGGAAGGGTCACTGAAGAGATGCTTGGCTGGGCTGCAGCACTTGGTTGTAAGAGGAGCTTTCCACTTAGGGGAGAGATTTTAGATGTCACCAGTATCCCCTTTCTCTTCCTCCTACAAAAAGTGAACCCATAATTCTTAGCTTAATACATGGCCAACCAGATCAAGACTATTTCTCAGTCTCCATGTTCCAGCATGGCCAAGAGACATTTTCGCCAATGGGATATGAACAAAGTATGTACATCTTATGGGAAATATCGTCAGAGGCAGATGGTATGCCCTTCTTTCTTCCTCTCTGTGGCCTGGAATGTAGACATGATGGCTGGATTTGGAGCAGCTGTCTCTGACCTTGAGGTGGAAACTGTGATGAGGATGGCAGAGTAACAATATATAGAAGGAGCATGGTGCTGTTATACTGTCTATGTGTGAGAGGAGTTAATTTTTGTCTGTTTATGCTACTGTCATTTTGGGTACTTAATCCTACATCATTCATATGCAGGTGGGAAACAAGCTGATCGATAACAGTAGAAGGCCCTACAGATGACCTCCTGGTCCCTCAGCAACAGTTCCTGCCTGGTGTTCCAATTTCAGTGGTCCAGGGAATATAGGTTCCTGCCTTCCTTGCCCTCACTGTTCTTTCAGACGTGTGTTTTTCCACAGAGTATTTCCTGCCCTTTCTGCCAACCATAGAGCAGGAATCTGTCTGTGAAACTGCTCCTACCTGGCTAGCCTCTCTCCTTATGCCTTTCTCCTGCCACCACTATCAAGAGGCTCCTCCCATAGCCTTTGGCCAAAAGAGGGGGTATTTGACATATACCACACGCTGGGTTCTCTGATGGGATTTCTGAATGCTGTGTGTCCCTGTGGGTCGTTATGTGAGTACATGTGTGGTGTGTGCCTGGAGCTGCATCTAACGTCAAAATATTTAACCACCAGTCAGAGTGGGTGTTGACCAGAAGAGCAGAGCGGGGTCTGGAAGTCATCCTGCTGTGCCAGGAATTAACCCTAGACACTGGACACTGGGCGACCCAGGGGTTTCCAGGGGACAATCTGGGTAGCCAGGGTGCAGGGGGGCCTCTTAAAGGTCTTGGGGCAGCATCTGTTTTCAATTGTTGAAAACCTAATTCAGTTTTTTTTTTTTTTTTTTTGAGACAGAGTCTCGCTGTGTTGCCCGGGCTAGAGTGCTGTGGCGTCATCCTAGCTCACAGCAACCTCAAACTCCTGGGCTCAAGCAATCCTTCTGCCTCAGCCTCCCAAGTAGCTGGGACTACAGGCATGCGCCACCATGCCTGGCTAATTTTTTCTATATATTTTTAGTTGTCCGATTAATTTCTTTCTATTTTTAGTAGAGATGGGGTCTCGCTGTTGCTCAGGCTGGTTTCGAACTCCTGAGCTCAAACAATCCGCCCGCCTCGGCCTCCCAGAGTGCTAGGATTACAGGCGTGAGCCACCGTGCCCGGCCCCTAGTTCAGTTTCTATGACCAGCAGTTTAGCTGTACTGTGTTCATTGCCTGAATGTCAACTCTCACTGTGTCCCATGTGTGTGTATGTATGTGCATGTACACCTCTGAGTGCTGGTGCAGCCCAGGAGAAAGACATGAAGGGTGTGGGATGATCCTTACGGGGGTGGGGGGTGGGGTTTCTGAGGCTGGGCTATGCACCCTGGCAGTGGCAGAGAATACAGATCTCACCTAGGTTCTTGGCTTGAATGACAATGTGGGCTGGGGCAGACAAGAGCACTGGGGTCAGGGGCTGGACTCTCAAACAGGTAGAAGGTAACTGGGACCTCTGAGGGGACATGTGACAGGGTCGAGGAGCACTAGAGGGTTGGAGAGGAGCTATACATCAGATTCAGGAGAGAATAGCAGGATAGTACAAGATCTGTCCTCCATGCCCCCACCTCAGACCATCTCCCCACAGTCCCCAGAAACGTTGGCCCACTTTACTCGGTTGGACTGGATATTTTATTTCTATTTTATTATTTTATTTTATTTATTTATTTTTTGTAGAGATGGATTCTCACCATGTTGCCCAGGCTATTCTTGAACTCCTGGCCTCAAGCAATCCTCCCACCTTGACCTCCCAAAGTGCTTGGATTACAGGCATGAGCCACTGTGCTTGGCCCTGGATCTTTTAATTCAAGTCATGTCTTCTCCATGCCCACCACTGTTTTCCAGCCCCAAACTTCATGGCTTCAGGTGCTCCTTGTGGAGTCAGCATTTGCCATCCTTCACGATCTGGATGTCCTGTTTGGTTTTTCTAGGATCACAGGAGACAGGGATGAGACAACCTCCTTAGGAACTATAATGTACCCTCCAGGGACCTGGCCCACCCAGACACCCTGCTGAACCCTGCAAACCATCTCCCCCCTCCCCCCGGGAGATTTCAGCTTCCTGAGGTTTCAGCCACCACTGCATGCTGATGGCTGCCAGATCTGTCTTCTGCTCAGATCTCTGTTTTGCCTTTTCACGTAGCTGCCCATTGCATATCTCTGCTAGGACATCTCAGAGGCTTAACTGTCCACGAACATCATTGCCCCCCCAAGTGGCTACATACTCCCAAGCCCTGCATCTCAGCACATGGCACCACCAGTCACCCAAGCCCACAAGTTAGGAGCCAGCATGTTGCCTCCTCCCCTCACCCTTCACAGCTAGTCACATCTAAACCTGTCAATCCTATTTCCAATGTATCTCCTAATCATGAGAGTCTTTAATTAGCATGATCCTTTTCTAAACTATGACAAGTCCTGCTGCTCCTTATATTTCTTCAAATACAAACTTTCTTTCGCATCTATCTAGAGCTCTGCAGCTTCCAAGGACTCTGTTCTCTTCCATGATCTCATTTAGCTCTCAGGCCAACTCTGAGGGTTTTACTGGTGAAGAATCTGAGAGCAAATTGGTGATCTGACGTACCAAGGTCATGTTCAGCCCTGCTTACCTTTCTGACTCATTTCACCTCTCCCCCATTCTCCCTTAAATTTTATACTCTAGAATGTCCAACTTCTTATATTTCCTCAAATACGAACTTTCTTTCCCTTCTAGATCTTTCTAAATATTCCTTCTTATACCTGGAATTATCTTCCCTCATTTCTTTTTCCTAGCTAATTTCTGCTTATCCTTTAGGGCTGAGCTCAGATGTCACCTCCTCTAGGCAGTGTCCCTGCCCTTGCTTCTTCCCTGCTCCCATGACACCATGTGTGCTCATCTGAGCCATGAGCATTCTGTGCTGCAATTTGCTGACCATCAGCCTGGCTTCCCCCATAGACTGTGTATTCCAGGAGGCCCCTGATGCTGTCTAACTTAGTATATCCTCTGTTCTATCCCCAGAGCCTAGCACATAGTAAGTGCTCAATAAATAATTGTTGGCTAGACAAACGAAAGAACAAATGGGGTCACCTAGTCAGTCAGGGCCAGAATAAGAAAAAGAACCCAGAGTTTCTATCAGCCCTCCCTACCCGCCACTAGCTTCCAGCTTTTCTATGAATTATACTTGTGTTCATTCTGTGAGGGGTAAATGTCAGAGGACTCATCAGGCCAAGCATGTGTGAAGGAAGAAGAAGGTCAAATGCCCATCCAAGCAAGCCGAGGTTGCGGGGGTAGACTTACAGCCGGGTCAAGCAGAGCTGGCATTCACTCTCATATGTGACTCCATCAGTGCCACAGACCAGGTTGGATGTCTGGGAACAATCTAGAGACTCCGTCATGTGCTCACAGATGGGCTGTGGAAAAGAAGGGAGGGAACTCAGGGATTCAGAGGCAGTGGGGAGGGACCTAGGAGTTCTGCTTGGAACCAGAGGAGCCCCAGTGAGGAGCCAGATCTAAGAATGCCCCAGTGTGGGTTTGGTGAACATGAAACGAACACACTGAGGACCCCTTGGTATGTTTGCTTGTACGTACGCACAGACCATGTGTGTGCCTGTGGCTAGGTATATACCGTATATGTATCTGCGTCTACTGAGCCTGGGTGTGTGGGCATCCAAGTGTATGCCTGCATTTATGTCTACGTGTGTGGAGTGAGTTTGGGCCCTCAAGCTCCTGGAACTGGTTCACATACTCCTTAGAGGGCCTGACTAGAACCTCTGCTACTGGTCCCATTGAAGAGCACAGAGTACCAAACCACCCATCATTCCCAGGAGGCCCCCCTCTCCCCGGGTCTCCTGAACTCACTCTGGCCTGCATGGTATATCAGGCCCTTGGCAGGAAGGCTGCACAGGGTGAGAAGGCTGGAGAAATGGGGCAGGGTTTGGGGTTTAATTGAGGTTCAGGCTGAAAGGGTTTCAGGCAAGGCCTGAGGTCAAGGTCAGAACTGGGTCAATACTGGGATTGGAGCCTGAGACAAGGTAGGGTGAGGGAGGCAGTGTGGTGTAGCAGTGAAGGCCTGGGCCCTAGAGACCTGAATTCTACCACTGATTAGCTGTGTAACCTTAGATGAGCTACTTCTACTCTCTGAGCCTCAGTTTCTTCATCTGTAAAAATTATAAAGAATAATAGTGTTTCTTTCACATTGGGTTAGTTGAAATAATGTATGTAAAGTATTTGGCTCTTTGGCACCGAGGAAACTGGGTTCTGATGGACTGATGGGGAAGATGCCGCTGGATGGGAAGGTGGCCCTGAGCTTCCTCATTCACCTATGTGAAAGGGGAGGTGGAGGGTCTCAAGGATGCCAGCACCACTGCCTTGGGATGCAGACCTAGGGCCAGGTAGACTTGGGGTTCAGGGACAAATTGGTGTTTGTGCAATCGGAGTGAAGGGTTGAATGATAGAATGAGGTTGGGGAGGCTGGCACACTCCACAGGTCCATTCAGTGTGCCAGAGTCACCTCTTTGGCCTGAACCCTGTGGCCTGACTGTCTGCATTACACAAAGCAAAGAGCACATCCTGTCCTGCTGAGCCTGGGTGGGGAGATCCCATTGATGGAAGGGGCCTTGGAGACCAGGTGGGAGCAGTGCTTTGAGGCCAGGATCTGGACTTTGATGAGGGGGCTGGGCATACTGGAGGGGCTAATCTGGCGAACATGCAGGCTCAGGGGGCCACTCTGGCCACCTTGGAGCCATTGAAGGTGTCTGAGCGGGAGCATGGAGAAGAATAATTAACACTGGTTACTCAACATGGATGAGAAGACTCCTCTCTGCAGAGGGAAGGCCAGAACAGCAAGCAGCTGCCTTACCATTCTTGAGAAAGTGAGCTTTCCTGCTGACACTGGCACTTCTGAAAGATAAAAAAACAAAAAGCAAGAATTAGATGATATTGGCTCTAGGCCCCAGGTCCAGGAGGCTGAGGGCAGCTTCTTCTTCAGGGGGCTTGGCCCAGCCTCTACCCAATCTGGAACTCCTCAAGAAGAGGTGGTGAGCCACCAGACAGTGGGGCTGTGAGAAAGCTGATGTGATCTTGGGTTATGTGAACAGAGACAGGAAGTTTAGAATTAGGGAGATGATGGTCCAGCCTATTCCTCAGTAGTTATATCCCACTGGAATTATGTCCCATATAATAATAATAAAAATAACAATTCAACAGTTTTTATGTGCCAGGCATTGAGAATACATGATTTTAACTACTCTTCATGCCTCCCTTACTACTGTAAAACAGAAGTGGATGCTGTGTGGTCTGCTACCCAGAGCCCACCTGCAGGACTGAGGCACTCATTTCCCCAGCTGCCAGGAGTATTCACTGCTCACAGAGAGAACTTTCATAGGAATTACCCTCAGCATGGAGCTGCCTTGCCCGAGGTTGCATCCCCTACCTGGGAACGGCCCATATCCATTGACAGGGTGATGTGGGTGCAAAGGCCCTGACCACCTTGTCTCAATTCAGAACGATGCTGAAGGGCCAGCCCAGCGCCACAGCTCCCTGTAGGACCCTCTGAAGCCTCTTGCACTGTGTCACAGTCAGCCTCCCTCACCCTCATGGCTGCGACTCCCGTGAACACGCCCCAGGAAACTGCATGCGGATCTCAGAGGCTGTTTCCTTGGGCGTTTGACCTGTGAAAGACACTCAAAGAGGTAAAGGGATGCTGTTTGTTAACAGAGCTAGGATTTTCACACGGGGCTGTCATTCTCCAGGGCCTGACTCCTTCTACACACACAGTTGTGCCCTTCAAGATCTGGCTGAACTGCTTGTAGGACGTGAGCAAACTGTGAAGTGACTGGCGAGTGTGAAGCGAGGATGAGGGAACCGGAGCCATACCTAATGGCACAGGTGGAAGGAAGAGTATGTAACTTAGAGAAGGACAGGGTGCTTCCTGAGGTCTCTGAAGGGCTGTCCTGGGGCTGAGGGAGAGATGGACTGTTCTCTGCTCCACAGAGCAGAGCCCATCTGTGTGAAGAGGCTGCGTGGAGGCATGTTTGGGTTCCATATGAAGCGGAATTTTCTCTCGGAGCTTTGCCAGAAGGAGGAGGCTGTCTCCAGAAGCACAGTTCCCGTCCCTGGAGATGTGCAAGGCAATGTGGTTTTACCTTCTGGAGATGCTGTCACAAGAGATTTCCAAGGTAGAGAGGGAGAAGGGAACTGAAACTGTCAGCTCTGATGTGCTGGTTAAGCCTGGCATTGGGGCATCAAAATGCAAGTCTGGACTTGTCACTGCACTGCTTAAACCCATATCATAATTGCCAAAACCAAAAGTGACCCAAATGGTCTTTAACAGGAGAATGGATAAGTAAATACAGTGGGGTACTACTTAGCAACAAAAACAAACAGGCAGTTGATGGACACAACATGGCTGAATCTCAAAAACATTTTGCTGAGCAAAAGACCAGGCAGGAAAGACTACATACTGTATGATTCCATTTATGGGAAATTCAAGAACAGGCCAACTAATTATGGTGGAAAAAACAGAGCAGTGGTTGCCCCTGGGGGATGGCATGGGGGTGGAGATTGACTGGCATGAGGGAAATTTCTGGGGCAATGGAATGTTCTATGTCTTTATAGGGTTTTGGGTTCACAGGTATATATTAAATACATTGTCATAGCTCATTAATAAGATTCACTGAGTGGTAAGATTTGTGAATTGCATGATACGTAACGAAAGAAAAGCATTGAAAAAAATACATATATATATAAAGCCTTTCCATGTTTCCCCTGTTGTGATCACTAAGCCTCCCTATGGACCTGAGCTCCTTAGTCTTATGTTTAGGGCACTATGTGAGCTGACCTTAACTTGCTTCCTTGGGCTCACTTTCTAGTACACTTCTTCTGTCCCTCAGGTCCAGCTACTCCTCTCTGCTTACTGTTCCTGGAACACTCTGCTTTGGCTCATGTGGTTCCCCTTGCCTGAAATGACCTCACCGCTGTTCTCCTCCTACTGAATCATACCCTCCTTTCCAGGCTCTGATGCTGCCTCCCAGTGAGGCCTTCCCAGATGTCCCCCACGGTTTCCCGCGTGGACTTGGATTTAGGCTTCTTTCACGCCGACATGGCTGTCTTACTTGCTGGGTCACCCTGCCTCCCTGTGGACCTGAGCTCCTGGGGTTCCTTTATTTCTGCCCCCCAGTTTATTCTCAACATATCAACCACAGGAATCCTTTAAAGACAGAATTCGCTGCTCAAACCCCTTTGGTGCCTCCCATTTCACTCAGAGGAAAGGCCAGGTTCTCACACTGGGCCGCAAGGCCTTACTCAGTGTGGCTCACAGTTGCCTCTTTCATCTTTCCTGTCATTCTGTACTGGGTCTCCTCCAGCCACATTGGCCTTGCAGTACTTCAGACACCCCAGACATGCTCCCACCTCAGGCCTTTCCACTGGCTGTGCCTTCTGCCTGAAACCCTCTTCTTCCAAATATCCACACAGCTCACTCCCTCACCTCCTTCAATTACTCAAATGTCAGCCTCTCAGAGAGCTGTCCTCTAATTTGAAATTGCAACCCGCTCCCAATCCCTATCATTCCTCAGCCTTTATCACCCTCTAATATACTGTTTCACATACATTGTACCTATCTTGTTTATTGTGTTTTCCCTTCTCCCCTACCCCACTGGATTTATGATCCATCAGGACAGTTGTTTGTCTGTTTTGGTCACTGATGTGTCTTAAGGGCTCAGAAAAGTGCCTGGCACAGTAGCTGTGAGATTGCAGAGGTGCCTCAGGCCCTGAGGAGGCCCCACCCCGGGTGTATGTGTTCATCGCCCAGCCTGGCACCAGGCAAGGGCTCTCGTGTGCTCACAGGGTTGCCCTCAGTCCCAAACCACAGCCTGTCAGAGCAGCACAGGAGTTCAGAGGACCAGGTCTCTGTTAGCACCCACCACCCTGCAGCTAGCATACTTATCTGTCTCCCCGGAGGGCTGGGACCTACCTGCTCCCTTCTGCCTCCCCAACTGCCAGCCCACTGGTTGCTTAGTGCAGCTTTGAACTGGAACAACTCCTACTTTACAGCTGGAGAAACTCAGGCTCCAAGAGGAGGGGAGACTTCGGCAATTCTGGGCCAGAGTGGGGATTGGAACTCAAGTTTCTTTTCTCCCAGCCCAAGGCTTTCCCCACCACAATGGAGGGTGCATGGGCAGAATGAAGGTGTACACAGAGAGCCTGGGCCTCACAGGGTGCTAGAGGCTCTGCCTCTGCCCCCACCCCCAAGCTCACCTACCAACACCAAACCACAGAGAATCCAGGTCTGCCCACTCACCCCTGTCCATGATGAGGAGGATAGCCAAGGCCAGGGTGACCACCCACTGGTGGAAGGCCATGCTGATCCTGGGATGGTGTGGCCTGAGCTAGCTGGAGCCTGGGCTGAGGGAAGGATGGGGCCTGTTTATAATGCTGATCCCTACCCTTATCTTATCTGGGGCCAGATGGAGAGGCCAGAGTTAATCTCTGCATCCTGGCATCCTGAAAGGGCTTGCTCCAGGCAGAGATGCTGAGCTCCTGGTGAGAAGGGGCTGTGGCTATGGGGCTGGCAGATGTTGAGGGTGATAAAAATCTTGGACAACTTGCAAAGCTGACTCCAGTCTGAGGGCTGGGACAGGGAGAGGAAAGTCGAAGTAGAAAGAAAAACAGAGAGAGACCAAGGCAGAGAGAGAGGGAAAGAGAAAAGCCATGGCACTCACTCTAGCCCGGGCAACAGAGCGAGACTCTGTCTCAAAAAAAAAAAAAAAAAAAGAAAGAAAATGAGACATGAATATAAGTAGAAATGATTCTTTTTACTTACTTTTATTTCATTCATTTTTTTGTACCATAAAGTAGATGCAACTAACAGACAAAACAAAGGCAAAATAAAGCATATTAAAAGGAAGATGCCCTCTTGCTTTTCAGGTATTATGTGTTCATTTGCATTTCAGTATGTTAAATACAGATAAGATTCCTTTAATGAAAAATCAATATCTAAAATTTCCTCATACTTATACAATATATATGAATGAATAATTTGGTTATCTGCTTTTAAAGAATTTCTGATTTATAAAAAAATTTTATTTATGCATTTCTCTAATTCATTTATGATAAGCGATTTTCAGCTCTATCTGCAGATTAGATTTCCCTGGGAGAATTTAAAAATACAGATGCTGAAATTCAGTCAGAAATATTTAGGCCACCTGTAATTCTAGCACTCTGGGGGGCCGGGGCGGGAGGATTGCTTGCGCTCAGGAGTTCAAGACCAGCCTGAGCAAGAGTGAGGCCGCAGTCTCTACTAAAAATAGAAAAATTAGCCAAGTGTCACGATGTGTGCCTGTAGTTCCAGCTACTCTGGAGGCTGAGGCAGGAGGATTGCTTGAGCCCAGGAGTTTGACATTGCAGTGAGCTACGATGATACCACTGCACTCTACCCTGGGCGACAGAGCAAGACTCTCCAAAAAAAAAAAAAAGAAAGAAAAAAAAGGAAATATTTAAATTAAAATCTCAGTGTTTTTTTAAAAAACCTGTGTATTTGAAAGATTACAAGCCTACAGCTAAATTGTAAGAATAGTACAATGAGTCAATGGGAAGGATTCTTGTTCAAGAACAGCCCCTTTGGGAGCACTAGGCAGACAGTCACCTCTGCAGACCCATAGAAGCCCCAGATCTGTGGCCAAGCCCTTCCTGAAGCCCTCAGTGGTCCTTAACTCAGCTTCAAGATCCTCCTGCCCCTCCTCAGGAACTGCACAGGCCTACAGGTGCCTCTGAGGCAGGTGGCAGATACCTTCCATTGCTGAGCCAGGCAGAACAAATATTTAACGATCATTTCCTGTCCTAACGCAAGAACGTCATCTCACAAAGGGAGGGGAACTTAAAGGTCATCCACATTGTCTCCCATCTTCCACTTGGGCCTTCTTCCAACTCCACTAGGAGGTCATTCATCCTCCAGTGATGGGGAGCTCACTACCTGCCAGTTTCAGGCTGGGTGCAGTGGCTCACACCTGTAATCCTAGCACTTTGGGAGGCTGAGGCGGGAGGATCGCTCGAGGCCAGGAGTTCAAGACTAGCTTCCAGTTTCATTGGTGGATGGCTTTGAACAAAGAGAGTCCTTCACAAGAGAGGTTGACTTCCCTGAGACTCCTTGGGGGTCCCAGCTTTGTCCTGTACCTGCAGGAAGCCCAGGCGAGCACCTCCAGGCTGAGCAGGTCCAGCCCTCTCCAGCTCTGTCTCTGGCCTCCCGCCTTTGCATATGACGAAGCTCCCAGGCCTCTCTTCATTTCTTTCAGTGTGCCAGGTTACAGTGAGAAAGGGACAGAGAGGAGCAAAGGGGTTTTTCTCCTCCCTTGTTTTGGACCTTAGACCTCTATCAATGTGGCAGCAAATGGCTGTTGATGATTCTAGCTGCTGCAAGGGACCAGAAAGCTTGAATCTCGTGCATCCTTCAAAGTACAGAGCAAAGTCAAGGGCAGCCAGTGGAGTGCAGAGCCCCACTACCATCCCACCCTGCTCAAGGTCTCTTTCCTCAGACAAAAACATCCTAGATTCACTCATGGTAACAAACTTCCTAATCTGTCATCCCATCAAAGCATGAGCCTAACTCCTGCATCGAACTGCTGTTGGACAGCACCACTATGGATGTCAGGGCATCCAACTAAACCTCGTTCATTAATTCACAATGCATTCATCCAGTCAGTAAGAGTTTAATGAGCAGCCAGCTTAATGCCGTGCTCCATGCTGAGTGCTTAGCTATGGCAGGGAGTAAGTCAGGCACAGTTCTTTCCTCACAGAGCTTGTGGTTAAGTCAGGTGACAGGTTCTAAATGAGCAGCAGAACTGTATCATCACTGTCAGAGTGAGTCCCATGAAGGAGACATGCTCAGTGCTATCAGAGGATCTAAGACTGACCTATCCATCTGGGAGACCAGAGAAGGCCAGGGGGCGAGAGGGCGGGGCAGGCTGTAGCCAAGCGGAACAGTGCTGCAGGCAGAGGACACAGAATGTGTGAGGCCCCTGAGGCAAGAAGCAGCTTGTCTCATCTGAAGAACAGAGAAGCCATTCTGGGAGGGAGAGGTCAGGGAGGCTGGGAGGGGCATGAGAGGAGCCTGGAATGGTCGGTGGGGGCCAGATCAGCCTTGGTCTCTGTTCCCACACCCCATGTCCCAATGACTTCTAGCAGTGGAATCTCGGGACGTGACTCTTTGCCTTCCTACTGAGTGTATAAGTTCTGCTTCCTATCCTAAATAGCTCTTCTTTTTTCTTAAGAGTCTTGCTCTCTCACCTGGGCTAGAGTGCAGTGGTATCATCATAGCTTACAGCAACCTCAAACTTCTGGGCTCAAGTGATCCTCCTGCCTCAGCCTCCCTAGTAGCTGGGACTACAGACATGTGCCACTATGCTTGGCCAATTTTTCTATTTTTTGTAGAAATAGGATCTTGCTCTTGCTCAGGCTGGTCTCGAACTCCTGGCCTCAAGGAATCCTCCCGCCTCGGCCTCCTGAAGTGGTAGGTTTACAAGCATGAGCCACCATGCCCGGCCCCTAAATAGCTCTTGAATCCATTCCTGCCCCTCCACACCCACCACCATGCCGTAGCCCTGGCCACTATTGTCTCCAGCTTGGCCACTGCAATAGTATCCTGACTCATGTCCCTGGTTCTCCACCTGCCACTCTAAATCACTCAGCACACAGCAGCCGGGGCAAGCTTCCTAAAGAGCAAAGCTGACCAAGATGCCCCTGCCCAAAACACCGTAAATGTACCCATTGCCAACAGGAGGAAGCCCAAGTTCCTTAGCCCAGTGCTCTAAGCCCTTCAACATCTGATTCCAACCTGCATTTTTAGCTTCATCCCCACCCTACCCTGGACCTGTACTTTTTCAGTTCTACTGAACCCTTTGTACAATTTATTCTCTCTGTTGGTAATGCCAGGTCTCTCTTCTCTATCCCTCTGCTCTCATCCTATAAAAACCAGCTCAAAGATTCCCTCTTCTGAAACCTTCTCTAACTGCCCTTCACCAACCTGGGCATGGCTCAAATGCCCTGCTCTCATTGCCCCTTCTGCCTCTTCTGCCAGAGTATTCCCCTGCACTCTGGTGGTATTTGCTTATCCACCTCGATGGCTAAGCTGTAAGCTCTCTGGGAATGAGGGAAATGTTTCATTTATCTCTATCTCCCTGGTGCCCAGTCCTGAGCCTGGCACACAGTGGGTGCTTGAAAATGTTGAGTGACAGATCCCAGAGGGGGTAGAGGACAGTGGGCCCAAGGACAGAGATGGTACCTGCTTTGGGGGAAAATATCTCAAGGGGAAGCAATTGCTGTCCCCACTGATCCCTTCCTGTCCCTGGGACACCATGAGAGCCCAAGAGAGTCCCCGGCACATACCAGACTCCAGGTGGTATGGCCTGGGTCAGAGTGGCTGGTGTGTCTCTGGCAAATGGGCAAGGCTGCCTCCCTCCAGCCTGCCCTCTTATCTGGGATGCAGAGAAGTACAGGGGAGAGTTCTGGACCAGGAGTGAGGCAATCTGGGTTGTTCATTCAGTCAACCAACATTTATTAAGTGCCTACCATATTCTATGCACTGTTCTAGTCACCAAGGTTTCAGCTGTAAATAAGATGGAGTGTCCCTGTCCCAAGGAGCTTACATTCTACTGAGGTGACAGACAACAAAGAAATATGACAATAAATACATGACATGTTATATAGAAGAGAAATCAAGTGGTGTAAGAGGAGAGAGTGTCAAAGGGGAGGAAGCTACTCTTTTAGACAGTAACACGTGAACAGAGAAGGAACAAGGCCTGCAGAGACCTGGGGGAAGAGCCTGCCAAGCAGAAGAACTGCAAGTGCAAAGTGCCGAGATGGGAACAAGCTTGGCGTGCTCATGAAGTAAACGCCAAGGATTCCATTATGGCTCGAGAGGAGCGAACAAGGAAGTGAGTGGCAGGAGGTGAGGACCAGGTCATATCAAGGTCCTAGGCCAGCCACCAGCTTGGGTGAACTTGGGTGCATCCCTTCCCCCTTTTGGGCCTGGACATGTTCTCCCATCTGGGAAATGGGCTCACCAATACATACCACCACCAGCCTGACTCCCAGGGCAGCTGTGAGGGCCCTGGCGAGGAGTGTGTGAGACGAGATGTGTGCAGCCACTGTAATTCCAAGGAAGGGGCTTGGGTGGGGAAGCAGAGCAGAGGCCAAGGCCTAAACCCTGGGCACTACACAGGTACTGGGATCAATATGCTTAGCACACAGATGCCCCCAAACTGGGCTCAGGCAAGGAAGCTGGAGGATTCCTCTATCTCCTGCCCCAGCTCAGAGCAAAGATCTGAAACCTGCACCTTAGCTGGGCCAACAGTCTCCAGGCTCACACAGCAG